AAATTATATATATATTTATATATGTATTATTAACTAATTATATATTATATCTAAATCAGAGGGATTCATTCTTCTTCATAAAAACATGTATAAGTACAAAATTATTTGTATAATATTATTGCAACCATTTGGTTAAAACAGAAACCGTAGAAGTTCGCCCTTTTCCAACAGAATTGAACTATAAGCCAGAGGTAACTTCCTCACAAGCTTACTAAAGGAACTTGTATTATAAATGCTTTCTTGGTATAGTTATATATAAGTACGGTTGCAGATCAATGCGTTTTGCCCAAGACTATGAATAGCATGGTTTTCGTATCAAAGGGAACTCTCGGTAGCAGCCCGAAATGGCGTAACGCATACATATATGTACCTCCGTACCCTGGAATGTACACAAAGCCGTGCAGGCGTGTCACTGGCTTAATACAAAAATCCATGAATTCACCGTAGCTATCGACACGAAATTGATATTAGTTCAATTTAACTATCTTTGCTAAAATGTAGTAGATATATGAAGTTGAAATTATGTAAAAGATTTTTATTTTCTAACACTTCATCTGTTAAGTTTCATATCAATATTCCCGAGAATATTAATTTCTACGAATGTTTTTTAAAGCAAATATGTTGTTTGATCTTTAATAAATTTATTTTTTAAAAATATTTCTGTTTTAACTAGAAACGAAATATTATTATTCTGTATGATCAATAACTTTTGTGTGGTAAATATAGAATGCAATACGTTAATGAAAAACGGAATAAAAAAATTTCTGTGAATGAAGATTACTAGGTATATGTATGGAACGCTAAAAATGTTTAAATTTTTATAAAAAAATATATTTGTCGTTTCCGATAATGATATCGACTTCTTGCTTTCAAACTAATTTAAATATAGGTAATATTTTGTTACACCGACCGATATATTACGACGTTACAATAAATAGAAGTAAGACTATCAATTAATTGGCGTCTCACTTTGCAATTCATAAACCTAATAGGTAATTAGTTATACCGTAAATGGAGCAGTAAGTTAAAATGTTATACAGGTGGTTAATATGTTATCAATTTATACTATATAAATTAAAAAAATATTATATAGTTATAAATTGCTAAAATAATATATTATATAGTTTAAACTTTTTTGCCACTTATTTTACGTTACGAAAATTAACCTAAAAACCATACACGCGGCGTTCTAAGACTTGTGGAGAATTTGTTTTGAATTTTTTATTACACTTACCGAGTTTCAAAAACCCGATATCATTATAATATTACTGCCATTATAATATTACTGGCTTTGCATTGCGAGATCGAGTTCACTAGTGCTGCGGTGTTGATTTACTTGGCCTCTTATTTGCTTGTCCTTTTTGTGTAATAAAATGCTTTTAGTTTAAGTGGAATTTATATGAATATAAATTTTATTACTTTCACTAAATTACGTTTCATATTTATATATAGAAATCCAAAAAAATATCACAATAACTTATCAATAACCAAACTTAAAAATACTAAAGTATTCTTGTGTAATAAAATTATTTTTAATTGTCAATTGTCATGAAAAGAACCAGATAAGGTTCGTTGAATATAGATTTAAAGAGAGAACATGATCCTGAACTGAATACGAATTAAAAAACAAAAAACGAAGATTTGTTAAATTTAACAGTTAACGCCCTTATTTCCGACTTCTAAGGGACAAAATTGGCTTATAATTGAGTTAAAGTTTATAAAAAAAGGTAATTGTATTTTGGGTAAGTGTATTTTATTAACAGCATGAAGAGAACAAATGAAAATGCAAAATTTATAATACATTTTATATTTAAGTAATAAATTATTTTATGCACATAAATAAACTATTGTTGAAATTACAGATTAAATATTAATAAAAAAGGTTATGTGACTGTATTGCGTGAAATAATTAAATGAATAGTTTTGAATTTTAATATCTACTTAGTATGAGTTGTAGAAATAACTAGTTTAAAATAGGTATGTAAAAACTTACTCACTCTTTACATTTTTAACTCTCGAAAAACTTGCAACATTTAAGTAACCACGGTCAAGAATAAAAGATTACCCACTAGAAACTCTTGAAAATAAGGCACAGTAATTAAAATTCAGATGGATTTCTTATAAGAGAGAAAAATTGAGGTTATTTTTATATATTTATAGACGCTCGTTGCATTGTAATTAAAGTTTCTAAATGTAAATTTATCTTAAATTATAAAAGATCAAGCTAAGCACTATCACATATATGAGAACTTAACACTTTTCATTCAAAAAACTAAACATTTAAACATGTTAAGTGATCTAAAATAATGTGCTGATATTTTTTGATGCGTAGTAATGTTGTGCACACACAGCACTAAAAACTATCGTTTGTGTTAAACACTATATTTTTATATTTTTTATAACAATAAACAAGTAGCTACCTATTTAAAAAATCAAAATAGGTGCAATAAATAATGTAATATTTGGACAAATTAGATTCAAAATAATTAAATAAATAGCAATTTATTTAAAATATGACATTAATTAAATTATTATAAAAAATCTAGTAAATTCGAGACTACGAATTCTCGCTCACAAATATAAGATTTCCTAGTAAAATCATATATATTATTTACCCTTCTACAATACTCTTTTCATGGGTAATATAATTTAATTTAAATTTTATAGTATTTTACGACAAATAAAGTCAATTTTGCTATATTTGCAATAGTGGCTGAAAATATACCATATTCAAATAATAATTTTCGTTAAAAGTATATTAGAGGCAACTATTAAATAAAAAATCTAATTTAAATAAAAAATCTCAATTTAAATATTTATACCGCTTATATGGTACTAAAATTTTATTTTTCACTCCCCAGTTATATTTAGTCCCACTCCTTACCCCTATCATTGTATTTTTAGTATATAATTATTTTAGAATGAGAATTTCAATAGCTCTTACAGTTTCAGGTGACTTAACTTGAAAATGAAAAACACGATACGTACATATGACATTCAGTTGAACATGATACTAATTGACTCAAAGAATTCTTTCTTCAGAAATTTGCTGTTTAATTTCAGGATTTCCAACTCTTCTATATCCTTATTTTTTAATTTAGGGAATCCTCTAGATAGACAAAGTAGAATTTAATTTACTCTAGACGTCTGTTTCCTCGCCAATATTCGAGGTAGCCATGTATATTTACAAAAAAGGTATAAATAAATATTTGTATATGCGTCTCCATACTAGTCTCCTACATAGTCTCCTCCTGAATGTCTTAAATGGTAGACACAGATTTAATATGTATTATACCCACATATTTCGCCAACTATGTTTTTGAAGTCCCATGTAATATAAAACGGGCGTTTTGTAGTTACTTGGCAATTTCTAAACTAATATTGCTGAGTATTTCCCAGTAGAAAAACTCATTAATATACACTACCTACTACTATAGCCCTTTATACTACTACCGGCGCGGCGGCCCAGCCACGTTACGCTCGGGTACAAACCCGAGGGACGACCCTAGATGTTTTAACAGTTAGTATGGTCACGGTAATGTAATGCATACAGTATTCCAACTCGGGCCTGTCCTTGAAATAATTACCTACTCGTACATCCGAACGTCACGTACCCACGCGACAGGGCTGCCCGCCGGCCAGTATTTTAATTTCATCTACCTACTTGAGTTTCTTTCTAGTTTTGTGATTTCAAGTATTATATATTTTATTTAAAAAATATTATTAGTAGATTTAATTAAAATATCTCAAATTTATAAGAGTGGTATGTGACCCTTATAAATTTGAGATTTAAAAATATTTGCACCTCGACTGAGACATAAGAAAAGCCTTATTGTTAAATTTAATAGTATAAAGAATCCGCATTCGGATAAAAAGTTTAATTAAAAATACTTTATTTTTTATTTAATTAATTAGTTTTTATTTTTAAAACATACGATGTCTCGATACTTTTTTGTTTGACATAATAGCGAATTTACGGGAGGAATAAAATGTTTATTTTTGTATCTAATTATAAAAGTTACATAACATAACCATCTTATAAAATTTTCGTATCCAATTATACGATTGGGCAGCCCTGCACGGTTGTGTACCGAGTATATACCGAACGTGACGCGAGTAGGCATAACTTGATTTCCAACCGTTTGTATGAAGATGGAATACTGTATGCATTACATTATCGTGGTATGGTATTGATGGACTATACGATATACTCGTATAGTCAATAGCTTTCCTCAATAAACAGTTTATCTAATGTAAAAAGATTTTTACAAATCGGATTAGTAGTGTCTGAGTTTAGTGCGATCAAATAAACATACAAACAAACTCTGCCTCTTTATAACATTAGTAAAGATTAGATACACGAGGCATTCAAGGAACATATTTTATTTTATTTCAGAAGAACGTCTTTGTATCGCTGTTCAAATACCTACTATATTTTTTAATACATAAGAGTATTTTATTTTGCATTTTATTCTCCACCGTATCTAACAAATAAGCAAAAAAATACTTATTTCGTTTTTTATTACATTGTGGTCGGCTTTTAATAAATATTTTATTATATCATGAAGTTTATAAAACTTCTTAAGTTTACGTGTATCTCTCATACAGCAAAAAATAAACTATTTTTGTCGTGTAATAAGAGATAAAAGTGCAGTTTACAAGATGGTGCCTATAGGCACCAGCACGGTTCTAATGGTTAATTATAGATATTTGCGTTTTTTTTTGAAATAAAACTATTAAATATTTATAGCATAATTGCAATTTTAGACAGAAAATGTTGCTACATGCGATAATATGTTATGAAAAATAAAAAAATGCATTGGTATGCCATGTATTTTTTGATATGGAAATATTTTATTTAACAACAATTATACTGCATTATATCAAAAGCTCTTTAATTAATTTTATTTATGATAACCCTCTTGAGACATTTTTTTTGGGTTAGTAAAGTATACAATTAGATTCTAATAGTACTTTAAAGGAAATAAAAAAATCTTTTAAAAGAACCCACATAGGTCCGTCGTCTTCTTTGGGTAAGCGCCGCCGAAAAGTCTTACTGGAGTCCTACTCCAATCAATGAATAACAAAGGACTACGTTGAAAATTAGAGTCTTCTAAAGAACATATTTTATAATTTTGTGAAACAAAATTAATACCCATATTTCTTTCTCTCATTGGTGACCATACATGTGTCACATCAACACTACCATCAGGCTGGATATAAAACAAGCGATCAAGTTGTTCGACATTTTTACAAATCTTTGGTCCGAGTGAAGGAGGTACTTTTTCATTATTACGATCTAAATCAGATCTATATCTATTAATATCTGGGATTTTCTCATTTCCTCCTACAAAACTTTGTTTTTTCTCGTCCTTGCTATTACCTATCACATATCGTTCGTTTAAAGCATTTCCTATTTTAACATTTTTATTAAAATTGTCTTTGGTCAATTGTCGCTTATCGTTCATATTGCTTGTTCTACTAGGGCTCACTTCAGTGGCAATTTCTACATTTTTGTTACGCGTAGGAAGAAATCCGTGATTGTATTTTAATATAGAGTTAGAAAAAGTATTTGCGTTAGACGTATTAGATATTTCTGTAGCCAGGGCACGAGCGTTTAATATTTCATTTTCATCTACATTTTTTACAATTTTATGATTTTCAGGCACATATTTCAAGTTTATTGAAAAATGTTTTTTATTTATTTCGAATGATTTTTTATTCACCGGTATGATATTAGGGTCTAATTCTTCTGACTCCATGTTAAAGTGACGTGGTGTATGATTATTACTAAAGAATTTTACGTTGTTCCATTTATTTACATGTGATAAGCTGTTGGTATATATATCATTACTATGAGTATTTTTCTTACTATCATTTTCTTCTACAAAATACTCAGAAGATTTTATAAAAGGAAGTATTGTCATTAAATTGCTGCTTTGGTAACGGTCCAAGTGTTGTGAATTATTTTTAAAGTTTATTTTAGAACTAGATAAGAAGGGTTGAGGTTTTAGAATCCCTGAATTATACTCTTGATTACTCGAAAATTGGTTATCTATTTTTCTATAATTTCTTTGATCATTAGGGTTTTTTATTTGGCCCCTGCTAATTATTTCGACATCTTTGGTTTGAAGTTTAGCATGTGATTCTAAAATTTGGCTTCTTAAGTTATCTTGTAATATTTCCACATTTATTTGTGGATATTTGATGTCACGTTTTTGAATATTTATAGAACTATGATCTCGGAATCTTTTCCTTTGAAATATTAGAGGTGCATGAACTTTTGTTACCTTGAATTCAGATGGATAAGGAAAAGTGTCTGATATCTTTAACAGTGGTATTGTTGATGGAATCTTTGTGTGAACTTTATTTTCATAATTAAAACGTTTAAGATAATGGAGAACGCTATTGGCAAATTGAGAACTAGTCCATTGTCCATAAACTTTATTATTTTTTTCCGGAGGTGGTGGTACTTCTACATCGGATAATTTATATTGATATGAATTTGGTATAGTTTCTACTGGGTTTGTTTTTGTCTTTTTATTTCCTTTCAGTTCAAATAATGGTGTAATAATTGGTTTCTTTATCTTAACATTCGTTCGTATATAATCTTGAAATGATGTTGGTGGTGGAGGTATTTCAAATTCAGATATAGTAGGAAGTTCATGCGTACTAGAACTTGATAGTTCAGCCCTAGTTCCATTTCTTCCTTTAAATTTACCAATATTACCAGCTTCATTTACAAGATTCCAAAAATTTATCTTATCCTCGTTACGTCTGGGCTGTTTATTATTAACAAAAGTTAAATCTAAAATTTCCTTTTCGTTTGAACTATCAATTGTCTTAGTTCTTTTTTGGGATATATCGTCAAGGCCAACATCGTGTTCTATTTCACTGAAAGCCGTCTTAAATTTTACGAAACTTCGTGTAGTATTATGAAATGGTGCTCTAGTCGCTCTACTGCTCTCTGTTAGCACATCATCAGATAAATTATTAAGCACGACATATTTTAAGTTATTATGTGGTAAAAGTTTATTTCTATGAAAATATTTTTGTTGAAATTGTGGGTCGTATCTCATTGAGTAATTTCGTTGTATAGTTGAAGTCAATATCATATATGCACCAAACACTTCTCCTTCTATACCGTTTGGTACACCTAAAATGAAACAATGATTATAAAATTATAAAATAAATGTTGGAAAAGTATAATATGCAATGATGATGAAATAGCTAAAATTTACGTTACCATCCTCAGCCGTGCCATAGCCGATAATGACGCTACCGCCAGCAGGCAGAATGAAGCCGTAAAGCTGTAATATTTTAAAAATGCGGATAAGGATGTGGTTTCCAGAATATCACATTTTAGTTATAGGTACATGTTACTCGTATATTACACAAATACTTGCAAGTCAAAATTTCTTGCATAAATAACTGGTTCCTCAAGGTAGAGATTAGCCTCAGGTAATCTCAATTTGAAGTGACTGATCAGTAGTAATACTTATGACCCTGTACATTATGTACTTACGCAATAATTTATTTCAAATAGTACCTAACATTATATTAGCATATATTACTTAAAATTTGATTAGTATATTGATTTATTATGTTACTTAAAATGGATTAATAAATTGAATATGGTTATTCTATGAATGCACATGCGGTATACAATAGCCATATCTCAATTGTACATATATGTAGTATAACACATGCGTCGAATACACCGCAAAATTAATTAACGCTCTATGTCACTATAAGCTATGTATGCCTACACTTTGTGCTGCCTCGCATGATACAAGCTGACCGTCCAAGTAGAGTGCCCATGCTCCAAAGTCGGATTGAAAGGATATGCAAATATGCCGCCACGAGGTTTTCGTGATGTCCACCAGAGTACTTGAAGTTCTCCCATTCAATGATATTTTTATATGCTGTCCTCCTGAGTCCAGCCATAATCTTACTACACGATTGTTGCCGTTTGCTGAAAAAATATACATGCACCAATTAATAGAGTGCAGCGTTCGCGATTATCGTAAATAGACTGTGAAGTATTTAATGAAGTAAGTTTGCGTAAGCACAAGACATAAATTATGTCAGATATATGCGATATTTCAATTATTGCTTCTTTAATGGCAGTTTAGTATTTTTAATAAACAATATATATTGAAAACAAGTTGCTATTAATAGTATGTTTTGTGTAACTTGCTTTACTACTTATAGTATAAATATCTCAATATTAATCATTTAGTGTAATAGTTACTACAAGCTTTGTCACCCTAGTTATAGTAGCATTAGATAGCGTTCAAGTTACACAGATCCATTTAATTATGCTATAACGTAGCTACCATATGAGGTGACACCAATCGTTGTTCAAATTGACTACGCAGAGATAGTTCATGAATCAACTGATACTTTTTGTTTGGTTGCGTAAGAGAATCAAAATTAAGAAATGTAAAACGAAACTGGTCCACATAAAAGGGTCATGCTAATTATATTCGAATCGCAATGATATTTACTCAATAGTTGTTACATAAATAACATTTCAGTGAGTATATTTAACATTCGCTAAAACGTCCTTTTCTTAAGAATCTTGCGTAATTAGTACATTTTTAACATAGTCGCAGTGCCATACAACTGGTTTTAAAGTAATTCGCATAAAATTCTTTTATACATTATTGCTGTAATTTAACTACAGTTATTAATAAACACCCAACGAAAATTATATGCTTATTCTATATCTCTATAATGGTTTTAACAGCATAAGTCTATTTTTATTTATAATATGATGACATCTTCATCATTTTTAATTTTAAAGATAACAACCTTAAATATCTAAATAACTTACCTATATACGTAAAAATAGTTTGCTCGTTAGAAAGATCGAAAACACGTAACCAAATGCAGAATGTGAATTCTCTTATAGGAGGAGCTTCCAAGTCATATTGAAGAAACTGAAAAGATTTAAAAAAAAAAAGAAAAATTGTTATCATTTTTAATATGAAAACAATTCATTGTTTAACATTATGTTACAAAACAATTAAACATAGAAGATTTGTTTTTTATTGTGACAAATAATTACTAATATACATATACTTACTTAATATTATAATAGTCAATTTATTTATAAGTAAAGTTTGTTCTTAAAAATGAACCAACCTGAGCAAATCCTTTCTGCGTTAATGATACTTTATATACAGGACGATTTATACAAATAACTGAAGCAACAATTATTATAAATAAAACTAATCTAATGTTGGCTTTTTGTATTTCCATGTTTATTCTGAAAAAAAAAAATTCAACATAATATGAAAGTTTTATGAACCGTAGTGCAAATAATATGCCGATAATTAGAAAAAAAAGTTTTTTTTTAAATAAAATATTAAATACGATGTGAGTATATATTATCTATATTCTATAGCATCATTAAAACTTTATAATTGCTTAAATTAATTATAATTAGGTAAAAGTTACATTTAGTGACCAATTTCCATCCACAATGTAATTTGCTTTTTGATCATCTGAACGCGGGCGAAGCCGCGGGCAATGCTAGTATTATATAAAAAGAATACCTTTCCTAAAATTGGCACAATTATTATTTCTAAGGTAATAAATTTAAGGTTGGTGTAACTTTTTAGTAAAAAGTAATTATTATTTATATGCATATTAAGAACCACTCAAAGTAAAAAATTAAAGGGGAAAAGGTATCCAAATTTAAACGTTCTTATTTTTATACACTTATACGTTCTTTACTATACGTTCGTGGACTTAGAAAACGGAATTATATCTATTTACTCTTATTACTAAATTATTTAGCATATTATATTTATTATAAAAAGCTAATACCTTCCGACTGAAAGGACTTACCGTTAAAACCGTTAAAAGCATGATGCCCAAAAGTTCCTCATGTAATAAATGTGAGCACACTAACGAAGGATGGATGTATGAAAATTCATGCACTCAGGGCGCTGAAAGCTTGAACGGAAGTTCGAAGTCGAGAAATTAATGTTTAAGCTTCTGTTTATATTGCCAATGGGAAATCCTATTAAGATGATGTTAATAATATGGTCTACGCCTAGGTACTGGCTAGCAGGATACAAGAACAGTTATTTTATATTGTAAACTACAATATCCGTTATAAATATATAAATATAGTTTCATATATCAACGACTAATATGATGGAGTGGTTAAACCAGCAAATTATTAGAATAATCTTTTATTCTCATAAAAATAACTTATCGATTAAATAAGATATTATTTTATAACTAAACTAACATTGCCCGCGTTCAGATGACCAAAAACCAAATTCTTTGGTTTTTCATATTAGTATACTCTTATAATGCAGTTTTTGTATTTTTTTCTCAGAAATGAGATATTTTCCCGCGGTGAAAAGTATCCTATATGTTGACCCGGATAACCAGCTATCACCATAAAAAATTTCATCAAAATCCCTCCAGTGGTTTTTCTGTAATGCGGTAACAGACAGACAGACGACAGACAGACAAAAAATCTAAAAACTATAGATTCGGCTTCTGTATCGAAAATAATATTTATTTCAATAAGATTTTCCAAAAAAATAATAATGTATGGATTCGGCTTAGTTAGAATTATATTATATGTATTGATTAACTACACTCTATTTTGCTTTTATTTATATTAAAAATATCATAGAAGATACTACGATAAAGTCGTGATGAAATAAATTTATAATAATGACAGCATAATTTGTTATATCAAGAGTATATTTAATATAACAAAGTCAAGCAAAATTATATCATCATATCTCAAATAAAATCATTATTATCGATAAGCAATAAATAATAAGACTTAATTTCTTTTTAATATAACATTTTTAAACATATTTAATTATAATATATAATAATTACATGAAAAAATACAATAAAACTAAAATTTATTTAAATTAGTAATTTATTGTAACGATGTGGTATTCCATTAGTGCTAAACTTACTGAACGTTTTTTATACAGAAAGTAACTATATCGATAATAAATAACTTGAGGTAAATAAAATTTAATTACGATTATATTTGCAGACTATTTTTATTTCCTTATATTGTTAGCAGTTTTATTTTAAAAGAGTCGTGAAGATTATCATATGATAACGTTACCTGACGATCTTTCTTTATTGAGTTTTAAAGTTAAGTAGTAAATTCAATTTTAAACATCGGCTGTATTATTAAGGATACAAACCTCTCAGCGTTGAATACAGCTTCAGTGGCAAGTTTTCTCACGGAGACCACAGAATTACTCAATTACACTACGACCTCGTGCTTTCTATAAACAAAGAAAATGTCGACTGGCATGTCTCGTCACCAGTTATGCTAAAACTGTTATTGCTGTGTAATTGTTTGTAAACCGCGAAAGTATTTTCAAAAACATTGTAGCATTATGATTGTAAATATTTCTATAAATATACTAGCGTTTGTCGGTGGCAGCGCTTCCGTGAATCAACTAGACAGGATTTTATATATGAGGGGCTAGGTAGGTACTCTAATTAATATAAAAATGAAACTTTGTTATAACTTACACTTTGTATTTTGTGCAAAGTCAATTTTGTCAAGCTATAGATTGATTGGCGGTATTATTCATATACGATATGTATGTATTCAGTCCTTTTTAACGTCCCATTGCTGAGCACGGGCCTCCCTTCAATACGAGGGGGATTAGACCACATTCCACCACGCTGGCCAAGTGCAGGTTGGCGGACTTCATATGTCTTTCGAAAACTTGCTAGGTTTTCTCTGACAAAAAGTTTTTATCACGATGTTTTCCTTCACTGTAAGGCAAGTGGTAATGTTACAAATGTTTCGCACATGAAAATATCAGAGGTGTGAGACCCGAGATGTGAACACGCTTCACTCAGTTTCCCAAGCTAGCGCGCTACCACTGGGCTACCACTGCCTTTTTTATATATGACTAGCATTGCCCGCGGCTCCAAAAAACCAAATTCTTTGGTTTTGCATATTAGTATACTCTTACAATGCAGTTTTTGTATTTTTTCTCAGAAATGAGACCTTCCCGCGGTAAAAAGTATCCTATATGTTGACCCGGATAACCAGCTATCATCATACCAAATTTCATCAAAATCTGTCCAGTGGTTTTCTCGTGATGCGGTAACAGACAGACAGACAGACAAAAATTCAAAAAACTTTAGATTCGGACTCTGTATCGATAATAATGTCTATTTCAATTAGATTTTAGAAAAAATATTTAATGTACAGATTCGACATAGTTACAATTTTATTATATGTATAGATATAAAAAGCTAAATTGCATGTCAATATGCTTGTATAAATAAAATGAATAAAGGTAATGTCCTCAAAAAATATCAATACAAGAATATAATAACATTCAAATAATTTGTTTCATTTATTCATATAAACTTAACGCTTAAACCTTCGATCATCATCATCATCAGTACTATTGTTGATCGAAGGCTTAAACTTAAGAAATTCCCGAATAAATAAATATGTTGCGACATTAGGAGACCTATTACATTAAGACCGTGATTTTTCAAATTAATGCCCATTTTTGGCGTTCTTATTTAGAGAAACTGAAACTCTTCATCAATTTGGACTTATTGTATGATGAAGAATAGTTATTAATCTAGTTCATAGCGGCCTCGCTTTTCGCAAATTTTCAGTATTTATTGAAATAAAGACAAAATTCGAAGAAAGTTTTTAATAAAATGCGCAACGGCACTTTTTCAAGCTCATGGATTGAAATACTGTACTGAGCAAACGAAATGAAATATAATAATATCTCGTATATAGTGGTTGAGTTTATAGCGGCCTCTGAATTTAAAAATATGTATTGGATTTCTACAAAAAAATCCTTTTCAAAAACTTAAAAACTATTAAAAACTTTCAGAATTAGCTGTAAATATATCCTTACAACATTAATATTATTAAGTAAAATTTATACCAGAATATACTTCATAAGAAACGTAATTACATAACCTTTTTTTTTAAATAATTTATTATTAAACATTACATGGAAGTAATTACAACTGCAGTAAATGCTAGAAACAGCGATACGTCAGCCGTTCGAACTTAATTCCATAGAACTCAGTACATTTAACACAGCAATATCTAGTTCCATGGTAAGAGTTACAAGGCTTGTGTTATGGATACCAGATATTTGATACACTACAGACATATAACTTTAAATGCATACATATCTATACATATAATAAAATTGGCAGTAAGTCGAATCTGTATATTAAATATTTTATGGAAAATCTTATTGGAATAGACATTATTATCGATACAGAGGCCGAATCTATAGTTTTTAGAATTTTGGTCGGTACCGCATCACAGAAAAACCACTGGAGGGATTTTGATGACATTTGGTACGGTGATAGCTGGCTATCCGGGTCAACATATAGGAACTTTTTACCGCGGGAAAATGTCTCATTTCTGAGAAAAAATACAAAAACTGCAATGTAAGTATACTAATATGTAAATCCTAAGATTTTGGTTTTTAGTCATCTGAACGCGAAAGCATGAAATATGAATTTTTAGAGACGATCCGACTGAAATAGGACATTTATTTGTGATCGTGACTGTTTTTCAAAACTAAGAGAATGTTAAATGATGCAATTTGATGTAATGTTATTAACATAAAAACAAAAGTATTGATCTCTAAAATAACAAGAGACTAAAATATTTAAAAGATTACAAGATATCATACATAGAATTTACAGTAGTGCTCTTTTATTATTTGACTAGTTAGTAAACAGCTAATATAATTATCAATAATTTTTACAAGAATAACATTTGTTATTCTTATTTGATATTGATAACATTGGTTAGACCATAGCAAAATTTTATTCCAATCGATTTAATAAGTTCATAAGTACACCTCCCGCAAGTACGTGCTCCCATATAAACCAATATTCAATCATGAATTTTTGATTCTGATTCAATGGAAAAGCGCAAGTTCGAATCCATAGGTTGATGGAATTTGTAATAAGTATAGGTACTTTTCTTTCTTCTTATTTGTAAAGAATTCATGTTAAAGATGTTCGTTTTAAAATTGCCTTATCTATATAAATAAAAATGAATCACCGACTGTACCAAGTTAGATGATTCTTTTTTTTGTGTTTGTTATTGTCAGGACAATTTTTGTATAGAATGAAATTAAAATAAAATAGTTTTTACTAAAATAAGATTTTTTTAAATCTCATGATATGAAAAGTGAGTGAAAGTTTTTATCCCGGAAATCATCCCAAAAGGGGGTGAGAATGGGGATGAAAGTTTGTATGGGAAAGCAAGCTAGCAAATGAAAATAATTTACTAACAAATTAAAATAATTATATTACTTAGGAAGTATTAATTTGAGTAAGAAGTCTACATAAAATTAAATATTATATGACGAAAATATCATTATGCAGTGTAGGACGTAACACTCTGGAAAGCATTATAATTTACAAATACTCTTGCAAACGACGAGTTATTACATCATTTAATTTGGTCAACTTAAAAAATTTACATTTTTAATTTCCTATAAAATATAGTATTTTTTAGTATACTTTACGAAATCACTTAATCGCATGGTACAGCGTCCACAAAAGTGGGCCATCTCCCAATGCCTTTCTTGTCTTCGCGCCCGGCTAAACTGTATGTATTCAGATCTTTTTAATGTCCCAATGCCTCCACTGCCACGGGCCTCCCTTCAATACGAGGGGAATCAGGTCATAATCCACCACGCTGGCCAAGTGCGGGTTGGTGGACTTCACATGTCTTTCGAAAACTTGAAAACGTGTTAGGTTCTCTCAGACATGCAGGTTTCCTCACGACGTTTTCCTTCACCGTAAGGCAAATGATAATCATGTTAGAAATAAAAAAATATCAGTGTTGCGAGAACCGGGATTTGAACCCGCTTCATCATATTAATTAAAAGTAATATATTTGTGTAAAAACTTCCACACTAACATTAACCTTCGATTGACGTATTATAGATGCGATCCGGATCACGCAAAATTGTTATTTTTATTTTAAATTTAGTAGACATCTCTCCCTTATAGGCGTCTCTCCCGGACTTACCCTGTAATTAAGCGTTACACACACTATTGTCATAATGTACTCGTAATTAAATTTAAAAAAAAATGTTTCTTGTCCTCGATCCTACCCTCGACTACCTTATCATCACCTATTATTTATATCTATTATCCCAAAATATTGCATATTCAACCTAATTTCAAATGTTGACAAACATCAAGTTGATATAGAAAGTTTATTACTTCTACGAGTAATTTTCATATCACGCCGATCGATACATCGGTAAGTTACTAGCGAAACTAATAACTCTAAATATAATAACATTAATAAACAGTTAATAATTTAAATATTCAAGATGTTGTCATTTTCTCTTACTACTAATACTAAAGCGTGCATTATAGGGAATCTTATTCCATCAAAAACATAAATGTTAAATTGGGAACCAAGTTCAATATTATGAATATGCGTGGTTGTCAACTTCATCGACAAAAGAATTGAAATCTAAACGGGTACCAAGTTCTGTAAATAATGCTGAATTTTTCATAAGAACACAACATTCTAAAATAAATTTAAAGCAATATTTCTTTCTTTTTCTGCTACAAAAGTGTTTGTTATTCAAAAATAGAACTTCTTAAATTTGAACAGTCGAATTATTTGCACAGAGTAGATAACTTAGGATAAAATTAAGTTCAAGATTTGAGTTGGCTCTTTTCATGATTTTGCGACTATTCGTTAGTTGATAAGGCGGAATAGGAAAATGTTATTTCATCATCATGGAACCTTTTCTCCTGAGAAAGAAAAAGTTTTTGCTATTACTATGGTTGCTATTGCTATTATATTTCAAAAGGCGCTAGGTGTAAGCTATTGCTATTATGTTTTGGAAGGCGCGAGGTCCTAATATATATATATATATATATATATATATATATATATATATATATATATATATATATATATATATATATATATATATATTATTATTTTTTCAAAATTTAAAAATTTACTGTTTTCGGATTTTTCCCTCTGTATGCACACGATTACCCATGTGGACCAAATTTCAACTTTCTAGGTCATCTGAAAGTTAGTAGGTAGGTAGGTAGTTAGTAGGTTAGTACTTAGTACTTATTAGTTACTAGTTACTACTTTATGTCAGTCAGTGATAAAAATGTTGATTTTTAGACGTTAATATCTCAATAACCGTTTGAGCTGTATTTATGAAATTGGGGCTTCTAGTTAATCTAAGAGGATTTAATAAATTATCATAATTTCAAGAGCTTATGTTAAATAGATTTTGAGTTATTATGAGGTGAAAAGTGGCTCCAAATGGTTGTCTTGATAATTTTGTTTGGTAGAATTCTCAGTAGACGAGTGCAACTACATAGCACATAAACATGCCGTTTCAACTCAATGTCATAAATATTGATTTGTTATAGGTGAAAGCTCCAGCTTACTATATGGGTACGCAGGCTCCAAGTACTCTTCCTCGTGGTGGGTCTCTTCTACGAGCGTTCTCGCCGGCGGCGCCTCCTGTGCCTGCCGATCGTGCCAAAGCAATGCCAGCTGCTGGTAAGTTTCACCCTTAAACTAATTTTATATATCTATAAAAATCAACATCATTATTTGTATATTTTATTTTAACATATTACTAAAGGAACATTTTATTCTTACATAAATAAGAGTAGCAAAATTCGGCTCAGATGATATACAATATGCATAGGTGTCTGCAAAACTACTGTGTGTGTAGGTCCCTCTGCGCCCAGCAAACCGGTGCGCTCTTACGTCCCGGGGAGCGGGTCCGAACGGTGTTTCCCCTTCGCCGCTGTCGAATGCCCTCGCGGTACCGATCAACTATACTCTATCCCTGGTAACCCCGGCTTCCTCCTCCTGTCAACGTATTTTTTTCGCTTTGTAAACCTAATTTGCTTCCAGCTTTTTATTCTTTCAGTGTTATCCTACCAAAGTATGAACACAATTTTCCACTTCATCAAATATATTCAAATCCTATTTTGTGTATAGAATTATTAAAGGCAATTAAATATTGGATTTAGACAGACTACGGCAAAATTTTCCTTAAAATTATACACATTACAATATTAAAGTGGTTCATGTCACATAAATAATATAATTTATCGCATATTCGCACTTCGTTTTAACTATTTTTATGCCTTATAACATTTGCGTTATCAAGACGTACGAATGATCAAAATCGGCCCACGCGTTTGGTCTCTAGAATGCCATATAAGAAAAAACAAACATACATACATACATACATATATATAGCCCAATAAACTCATTACCCTCCTTCGCGTTACGCAATCGGGTAAAAATAAAAAAGTTAGGTAGAAGTTTGAGTATTCAGCTTAAGTATGCCATTTTATAGCTTAAAAGTTGTTCTTACCTAGAATAGAGAAAGTTATTACATAATATTATATTTATAATATAACATTGCTAATTTGTACGTTATATTTAATTATTATTCGTTGAACTAAAGTATAATTTAAACAATATTAGTAGGTATTTAAGATTTTGAGAAAATATTAGCCTTAAATAACGTTAGACATATATATGTACCTATATATTGCTCTGATCTAAAACTCTTGTTTTTGTTATAAAAGCTTGCACTATATCTAGCTTTCTAAATTTCGGTCTAGTTTTTAAAAAGTACCTAACTCACACTATTAGATATTACTTTTATATTGTAGTAGGTTTTTTTTTATTATGAAATTTTATTTTATAGGCTTATATCCTTTTGTGTGTGAATTAAAGAAAAAGTGAAGTTTTCTAAAATGTTTACTCATATTAAATATAGCTCATTCTGGGGATGGATATATGTCGTCCCCCGAACGTATCGCTCCGCGGCAGCCTTACGAAGATCCATACTACACCCAGTTCCTGGGTCCGGCCGCCGTGAGACCTCCTATTGCTCCGATCATTGATGAAGAAACCAAGTAACAATTAAAATTAAAAGTATTATTTAAAGTAGCCTTTAATTAGTAGCATATCAAATATTTTGTATTCTATCATACTTCAATTATATTAATTCAAATAATAGCACTTGCGAATTAAATAATAAGACGTAAGATAAAATGAAGATTTTTTTCCGCAGTGAAACGGTAATAATAGATGATGCCTATCAAATGTATGGTGTCAACCCAATAACAACTGCGCCGCGTCCAATGCCGCGACCTCCATACGACGCCAGGTGAAATCTTTGATTTGAAGTGTGAAAATTACCAATGTCTTTTTCTTAAAGTGCAAATTGTTCCGAAATAATCATGTACTTATTTATACATGTTATATATTTATTGATTATTCATTTATTTACATATTAATGATGACTTTGATGAACCGTAAATGCTGTGCGATATTGTGGCCACAATATTAGGTGCTTGGCGAGTCCATAAATGCTTCAGGCGAATAATAATATCCAATAATATATACATGTATATCTAAGATTGCGAACTAACCCGAATTGTTATAGGCTTGGTCCTCCAGTGGACGATATGCAGCGACTTCGAGTTGAAAAAATGGAACGCCAACTTGCAAATCTAACAGGCCTTGTGCAGAAGGCTCTACAGGTCCCAGGTGCGGCGGTGCCAACCACTGCTCCGGCCGCTGCTCCCAGACAGGAGTACCAGACTTACGCGTCTAGACCCGCCACTCAGGGTAAGAATGTGGAAACATTCATTTCTCAACAGAAGTGTGTCACAGCAGTGAAGTCATATCAATGGAACTTTATTTACCGGTCAACGAAAGCTATAGTTTCGAACCAAATTAAATATTTCCAAATAACACCAACGTAGTTCGTCGTTCGATTTATTTATCATAATTATATTCGTCTCGATGTACTAAGCGTTTATTAAACTAATATATAATTGATGTATATTAGTCATTAGTGATATTTAGCAGTAAATTTGACTCGTCTACATGTTAATACTCTTAACTACCTACTCAGGTAAGCTTATTGTGGAAGGCTTAGTTCGTTAATGTAGCTTGCGTTTCCTGTATTCAGATGCCGCGCGATTTGCCAGCAACGAGAGACCTCCCAAATTAGGGAGAGACAGATTTCGTAAGTTTGATTGCTCGCGGCCAAAACTTGCCGATGCATTGCTAATGTTAAATATTTTAATCAATATATCCAATATGAAACAATTACTCTCATTATTGCATAAATCAATATACTATCATAAAGAAACCCAACATGGCTCACACTTATTTACGATACTTTACGATACTTATTACGATAGAAACATTATATTATAACTCGATTCCTACAACTGCTCTCACCTGCAAGTTGTGTTCTCACGTAATGAAGGAACAAAACCGCAAATTATGAGCGCCACCACATTCTATCAGCGCGCTACTAAATATGAAGTCCTAAAAGTGGGCTTCTTCCGCGCCTCTTGGAATGTGAACAGCGAAAGTGTCACTTTCACTCTATTACGAACAGCATACACCACGTATTCGTCATGTTAATTCGGAAAATTTTCTATTAGGCATTTACATTCGCAATGCATTGTGCACTCTCCATACATTATCACGCCGACCGCTTGCTTGCTGACTCGTGTGATTTTCTTGTTTTGGGCCTTTCAAAAAATTAACAAGACATTGATCAATGGCGTCATTACTTTTATATAATTCATGCACTATTATATTGAGATCAAAGTTTCTACTCATAAAAATAATTTCAACTGTAGATCCAAACGTTCTTTATGTTATAATTGCTACTTCAGTGGTTGAAATGTATATTGCGTAAGCTTCATCAGGTTGTTGTCGGCGGCTTAAACTTGCAGTATACTATAAAGTAAAAAGTAATAAATTGATTATTTTATAAAAGTCGACTTATGTAGAACAAGGGCTATCATATCATAAAGGGTATCGAAAATAATAAAAGCATGCTTACGATATTGTATTTATTGTGTACTTTCGCATTGAAATATTCTAAACTCGTAAAGTATTTTCCTTTCTTGCACGTCCATCTACTTTAAGTATTATTATATCTTATTTTACTTTTGATATAAATACAAAAGTTTGTTTTTGTACGATTCCTTTATTTAGCTAACAAGGTTGCTTTTCAGTACTGTTTTTTTTTTGAAAATAACATCTTCCCTTCCTCTACTAATACAAACACCTTGGTTCACATTTAAATTATATACACATGCAAATAAAATTTCCCACAATCTATTCAAATGATGATTCCTCAAAATTAACTGCACATATTTTAAAACGGGCACTTATTTTAAATCCTAAAATTCTATATATCTATTAATATTATATTCCGGATTTTATTTCATATCGAATTCCTTGCCATCTTTAAGTAAAATTATTGTTCCTCTACTCTCTTTTGTTTATTGATGTACTTTAAATCTTTATGATTTCAGAAAAATCTGTTTCTTTTGAGAAATCGGTATCATTTAGCGATGATCCACCAGACATGAACTCCCCTAAACAACATTCGCCTCAGCATTCAGGTATGCATAAAACTTGAAATTAATTATGTGTATGAAAGTTGCAACATGGATATGGATTCGTAGTATTTACTTAGCGTCGGGTAGATTGATATTTTGATAGAATTCCAAGAAATATAGACCGGTGATGGAATTTAACCTTTGATTTGAAAAATGTTTGGTTATCTTTATTTCTTCATGCCTTTGTGGCTCACGTGTGTATCGTTTGTGTATTTTAATAAAAACTTTCTATCCTTTCCTTGTTCCTGTTGGTTATTGAAATCGCACCCCTTTTGTTAAAAAATTACACGAATACACAGAGCAACGTTTTGTTTGAACTTGTTTGTTTTATTCGTTACAAGGGAATATTTTTTCCATATACATAATTTATAAAGATATATTTTGTAACTTGGTTTTAAATCTAATAAACCAAAGTCCTACCATAATTCAAGTTTCACCTTAAAACATTACCGTCATTAGAAAGCTCTGTCTCAATAAACTATATACAAATGTTAAACATTTGTAAATCATCTACAAAAATCACTTAGAATCGTAATATCATTGTTTTATACTTTAAAAGAGCTGAGAATGAAGTAAATGCGCTTACATATTATTAACAATAACATACAAAAAAATCTGTACTAACTCCTTAATTATTAACGATTATAGAAACGTTTTTTTTTTCTTAAAATATGATTATGTTATTCAATTTTATTTTTATACAGATATGAATGTATTTTACTTTATCTCGCGTGTACTATTATCATTCTTGGATCAAATCTAGCTATAAAATCTATCTCTTTTCGTAGTTAATATCATAACCATATCATAATTCTTGTATTTGATTTCTTTCCGCTTACTTCTTTGCCATAACAAGCTGATACAAAACCAACAAAACCGGCAATCAAGTCGTCAACATTGCCACGGACCTCGTCTCAAGGTAACTTTTTGAAATCCGTTTACACTATTTGACGGGCTTTGTTAACTGAAATGCTTTGGTTTAAGTCTAACTATGCGTATTTTGACAAAGCTATCTTGGCTAATACATTTTTTATTTAGAATACACTGAGTTTGTACAGCCATTTCACTAATGGATTTCAAAAATGCATATAATATCTTATTTTTATAGATTATTGACTGTATAATATTTCATTAGCTATTGCTGTATGGCCATCGAGAACCGCTATCGTTCCATTATTCTGTATAAGATCGTCGCTACATTTTAAACTTTGGTGGGGGTTGTAAGATTTGATATTATTCCATATCCTATTACTGATTTTGTTTATTGTTTGACCCTTAGAACGTGATCGGTTGAAGCCAGCTCCCCCACCCAAGCCGGCGGGGCTCGTAGGACAACAACTCGCTATGGTTCCGCAGCGAACCTACACTCTGAATGTTCATCCTGATTTCTTCAACCAGCTTCGAGTTCTCCAGAAGCAAAGCCGTGATTTAAGGATTGAGGTATGTGATATTTTTTATAAAATTGCTCGTGTAACATCCAATGCAAATATGCTTTATGATTATATGCGAATTTTAAACAGCCCTAGCGAAGTTTATGGTATGTTGTAGATAATTCGCAGATTATAGTATGTGTGGCTTATTCTTCCACAGACACGTAATCTACGTCGGTCAACTTTATCTCATTCGATTCAGATGAGACAGATGATGGCTGAATCCATCGTAAAAATAGGCGCTCTTGCTGCTAGTTTCCGTGAGGAAGATCCGGATTCGGTATGATTATTTTATAAAGTTTTCTTTTTATAACTTTTCACTCTTTATTCTATTTTACTGTTTAACACTTTCAATTATTTTAGCAATTGACACGCGAAGAAGAGATCTATCGCCAAGACATGTTGCTCTTAGAGAACGATTTGTATGAGCTGGAAGCCACTGTTGAACGTCTACGCGGACAAGCTGCTAATAGGTTAGTTCTTTGACGTAGATTTTTCTCTTCCAATATTTATATACTTGGTGTTTAAAGAATGATGTGTGATGCAATTATAAAGTTCTTGTGCGGATTTTAGGGAGACCCGCGTAAATATGGCAGATATAGAACGTATTGCCATGGTGCTTTCTAAGAGCAGCAAGACTGTTGCTGATTGGAAGCTTAAATTTCCAATTCTGCAAGAAACCATGAAGGCGAAACTCGCTGCTGAAATGGAGAAGGTAGTATTTAATATGATTTTTATTGCACAGGTAGACGTTTTTGTCATAGGTGAAAGAAGCATAATAATACAGTATAAAGAAAAAATAATTTAGTATAAATATTTATATAGGTCGTTCGCAAAGAGAAAATGCTTGAAGAGGAGCCGGAACGCTTAGAACTCGCACTGCGTCGATGCAAGAAGCTTACTGGAACTCTGGTGACTTTGAAAAGGTACAGTACAGTAGACCACGTCTTAACTAATATTTTTTTCTTACTTTTGATTTCATAATATTCTTTGCTGGAATATAGATTAGCCTGCGTCCAGGAGCAACGATTGCCAATCGCAGATGGACGCGTCTCGCCAACATCTTCTCAAAGCTCCACCGTCACCCCGGGACCTTCTTCTGAGGAATACAACTCCGAAAACGCCTGCTCTATCACCCCAAACACTAACAAGGTAACAAGCATCATCGTAACTAAACTCGAATAATTTAAACAATTTAACTGTATTGGGAGAAAATTTACTATTCAAATTTATTGATATGTAGTAAGAATATTAATAAAAAATTTGCAATTTTTCTATTAACATTTTTTCTTGTAGGAAGATATTCTGCTAACTTCATTCCTCAAGTTGATTGTCAAGTATGAAATACTATAGTTAAGAAAATAAATCTGTTCAAACTTTATTATTTTATTGTTTCGCTGACTAAGTGCATTCTCATTAATTCGAGTTTTATTTACAGAAGACGTAAATTTTCTTCCTACATTTTCACTAAAAATTACTTGAATTTAAATTTTATTTAGAGAACGTCAGCCTTACAGCATTATAACAGAATCAGATATCACGATAATAGTATAACCGCTTAACAATTGCAGGTTTGCCAAAAGTTTAAAATTTGCATTTTTTTCCGACACTTCGATTCTTTTGCGGAGTGATCGTTTTTAGGTTACGGTTTACTTTTCATTTGACTTAACCCTAGGCTTTTAGATTTTTATGCTACCTGTTATGTACATTGCCTAGATTTCTTCTTTAATATTCAGTGCACGTATCCTTTTTGTTACATAACTCTGAATTAGTTCCTTTAGTAGCTAAGTCTTATTATCTTACTCCTGTACTATTTAAATCTTGTAGTTATTAAATTTGACCGCTTCTTCTTTAGTTTAAATTATACCAATATTTATAGTTTCTTATCCTGTGTAATTAAGACTACTGTATAGACTGATTATTTGTTATTATTTATTTGTATTCTGATTATAACCGATTCGGCTTTTTTTAAGTATTTACAAAATCTGCATTTCCTAAATGCGGTATCATCTCAAATGAAATTGGCACAAATCAAAATTAACATTTTTCAAAATTTTGGGTCATCCTCTGTCACTATTTTGTCTCAACATTTGTAGTTAACTAAGATTACATCAAACATTAAATAAAAATAGTAGTAAAGTATTTTTTATATCATTAAAGTAAAAGTTATAACTATTAATATATTTATTTTTATTAGATATGATTATGATTATTGTAAATTATTATATAACAACTTGAGTAATAGATTTACGAATTGTTGATAGCTTGTTTATAGCTTGTTAACACAGTGTATTTGCAAAAGAAATAATGCCATCAAAATTGATACTTGGAAAGGTATTAATCGCATAAATACTCGTAGTAACTAAGTGACACATTAGATATTGTCATGACAGAGTGTGACGTCAACAAACCAAAAACAGAATACTAAAATATTTGAAATTCCTTTGCACAAACCCTGCAACCAATGCACTATCCATAAACGTTGCATTTTTATTCCTTGCTTCAGGAAAATAATGCCAATTTTAATAAACTCTCTTAAATTTTTCTACTAGATGCCGAACGACATTTTGAACCTGCCACTCTATAGCGTCCGTACTTGTTGTATAATTAATTATATTATTTATATATCGCTGATTTTTAATAAAGGTTGAATTTATACAATGTCAAGTCGAAAGTCTTGGGTTTAAGTGAGTGAATATCGAACAAAAGTATCGACATTTCAATTAGTCACTTTATTTCAGAATCTCTTATCCTATGTTATAAATTTTACCGAGCGACAAATCAAATGAAGTGTCTGACCGATGCTATGAACGAGATGGAAGCGATGGAAATCATTCTAATCAACGATCATATACGGCTGATCACTGAACAATTTTTATATTTGTTGTGATTAATTGCGCTGTGTCAATACTAAAGTTCTATTTTAATGATAAATTTCATCGTCTTTTTTCCGTGAACCCGTCAGTTCGCCTGGAGACAGAGCCAATACTTCAAAGAAGCGATAGTTATTAACGAGTAATAAATCTCTTCGTAATATATCCATAATTATTTATATTATTATTACTCTTTTATTATTATTATTCATTAAATACGTTTTAATCATTTATTTGTATATTTTCATTACACATTTACTTTTATTAATATATTTTTCTTTCGGTATTCATCTTTTCTTGTGTGAATAAACACAGAGCTGTCTTTATGTAGGCATGTTGGTGCACAATGGTACACGATGCTTTAGCAATATTGTAAGCGAAGTCGCTTTAAACTGATACGTCTACTTATAGAGTTTTTGCATATTTTTTCCAGTTCAGACAGTATTGAAAGAATCGGTACGCATGCTTACATATATTTCAAGTTTAAATACTGGATTATTTTTTGAAATTCAATCCGTGCAAATGGCATTCCAACAATTATTTCCATTACAAATTATAGTCAGTGCCATATTCACGGGCAGTAATTCGCTTAACTTTAATTTTGTTAGCTATGGTCGATCGCTTCAGTTACAACTTTCAACTTCCTGTACAGTTTAACTAGCAGTAATTAACTGTTTCCCTATTTACTTTTTGAAATTCATCATATCATTTCATATCGTGTAACTAAAACAAGCGTGTTTCGCTTTGCATTTTAATAGGAATTTAGCAACAACTACGTACTCAATTGTTTGAAACTTTGATATGCTTAAACATGGATATGTGGACACGACGGAAGTTGAAAGTTGTCGGTCATATAAACATTTTATAAAATTGTCAATATATAATAAAATATTTAAACTTATTCAATGAATTCATTATTAAGGCCTGTTTTATATATTGTAAGGGCTATAGAAGTATAAACGCATGTTAGGTAGACCAAGTCGCATGATGCCTCTGTTCGCTATTACCATTGTGAGTTCGTAACATTACCTTATTTTATTACTTTCGATTAATATTTCCTTTCAGAATTTCTTTAATTATAAGCTTATGACATTATACTTATTTCTTTATGTCTATATGTACATATAAATTTATATTAGTTGTGAGAAACCGTGTTGGTGTTGTATTAATATAATAAAATAGATTGTATTTGAATAGAAGGTATCGGGATAGTAGCCTATAGTTTTATTGTTATCTTTGACATGAAATAATAAAACTACTAATGCTTAATCTACTATAGCAAACACAGTTAGACACGATTATTTTTCACTTTATACCTACTTGTCTTTTCTCAATAATTAATTGGATGAGTGAATGTTTTAAGATAAAACTCTAGTTGATTGTTTTAAAAGTTATTTATTATTATCCTTTTATATTACATAGATCGGAGTCATATTTTAATATGTAAAAGAAAATAATTAAATGAAAACGCCACTCATCTCTTTAATTAGATTCTAATTTAACTTTTAACACGCATGGTATTTCTTAGGACTGGCTTTATAATAGTGTGTGCATCTTGCTGTTTTTGTTTTTGTTGCAGCTCGTTCTCGATTGCAGAAGCAGCTCACAAACCTCTGGAACCCATTAAATTACAATGTGCCCCCCTCGACTCTTACTTTTATTCATTTCTTTAATATGCCTCATTAGTATTTAACGCTTGTAGAATAATATACTTTTCTTCCCATTTTTGCACTTCACATTTGACACCTACACCGTAAAATAGTACAATTTTTATGATTGTCACATAACGTCCTTGACATCCTTAACACCCGATAAATTCTAGTAATCGGATAGGATTGGTTTCAAATGACTAACCCTCGCATCTGGAGCACAGGTAATTTTAAAAAAAAATTAATATACGCTTATAAAATATTCATACCAATAGCAATAATAAATTATATTGAGCACTTTCAATAAATAATTAAAGTATTTAGTAGAACGCAGTTCACGTAAGCTTTTAATTAGTTACTTTAATAGGTAAAATAAAATTTTAATATAGCTTACTTTGATCAGTAGTAGAATGTTGACATCACTAACACGTAATTTTTAAATTTTTGACTAATGGCAAAATCATCACAATTGTTAAGAGTGAAATTTATATTTTTTTTAAATTTTATTGCATTCTATCGTTCACATAATATATACTTACTTAAATGTTCAATATATTTATCACTCAATCTATTAATTAAACTTATTTACGTAATCAATATATGTATAAATCTACTTAAATATTTAACATCTATTTCTTCGCCTGTGTAACCTATCCAGAAAAGACCGTCACAACGACTCTATACCACAAGTCATAGGCTCGACACATTCAAAATTTTTTGTCGTTGAATAAAAAGGCTTCGAAATCTGAAAGTCTAATTGCAAGAAGTGCTTTTCCAAAAAAACAATAACAAGCAAGCAATATTCAACGGCAAAAAAGATGGGCAATCGCCTCTTGTTTTATTTTCTTTTTCTTTTTGAATGATTGTGGTCGCATTAAGACATTTAGATACATAACTGTTGATACTGAGTGTTCTTAATGGATCTTCTTAATTGAATGATTGTTTCTCAATGTTTCTGTCGAATCTGTGTTCATGTGTGTGTGTGTGTGTATGGACGGTAATGCTGCAATTTTATCCGTATCACCTCAACGTCATCTCACAAAGCTTTATAAAATTGCAACATGGCTGTCTTCGTTCGCGAAGCTCGCCGGGCAAAGCTAGAAGTGGGCGGAATGGTGCGCAGGGTGGCGTCGGACGAGCCGTTGCGGGACGAGCCGACGTGCGGCCGGAGAACGCCCTCGACGCGCTACTAGACGAGCTACAGACGTTTTCGAAGCCGACGGGCGGGCTGCGGCGCCTACACTCGTACCCCAGCGGCAGCGACACGGATGCGTCGCCGCCGGTGCGCGCACGCGGTCAACACCCGCCCAAGCCGCCCGTGCCGCAGCGACACCCCGAGCTGCTGGCGCTGGCCGGCCGCCGCGCCCCGCCCCCGCCGCCGCCCCGCACCACGTCGCGCTCGCCTCTCGCCTCCCCCGCCTCCCCCGCATCCCCCGCCTCTCCCGCCTCGCCACTCCACCCCGAAGATAATGATGACAAAAGCGCCGCGCGTCAGGCTCTCCTCGAGCAGCGACACCAAGAACTCCTAAAGAAACAAAAGGCCCTCCAGGAACAGTACGCCCGTCTGCAAATGATACAACGCAGCGGACCATCGCTGCCCCCGAACGCCCAACCCGACCTTAAGAAAACGGGAAGTGAATCAAATCTACTTACAAAAATGAATTTAAACCTCGCCACTGCGAGTATTTCGGGGAGTATGACGCATCTCGCCTGTGGTGGTGAGAAGAAACGAAACGAAGTCACAGCGGACTCACTCGATCCTCAGAAAGGGCCTGACGCGATCGCTACTACTAATAAAGTCTACGAGACAGACATACTGTGACCGTGTCAATTTTGCTTTATATCTGTCTAAGTTGACCTAAATTCTTTTATAGGACATATTTTTACGTACTATGTATTTTGTAAACTATTATTAGGGTTTCGACAAGGTGTAATAAGGATGAAAAACTTTTTCTCCTTATTACAAATTTGTATATTTTTATTACCTTTTTTTAAAATGCCATCTTACCATTTTATATTAGGTTTACGTTTGAAAACATTATTTTTATAATTTAATTTATCGCTAAGGTAGGTACAAGGAGCCGCATTTACCTGCACATTGCAAAATGCAAAATTTTACGAACTCTCCGTCTCTCCCAACGCTTAAAGCCTTAAACTTAAACTGAACTAGCCTCTAAAAACAACAACACGGCAAGTCTACTGGATAACTGAACTTCATATCATTAATAAGATAAAATAAATAAAAAAAGATTAAAAAAAATCAATGTCAAAACCAGATGGCTTATAGATGGTGTTACTGTTACCCTATAGTGTATAACGATAATTCAAACAATGAATATCCCGTTAGATATTACTGCGTCACGTTTGCGGGCAGATAATCAATTTAGGGATTCATTGAATCAAAACAAATTATTTTACTCCGCATTAGTTATATAGTCTTGCCAGTATTATTTAATTTACGTGATATTTTAATGTTCCCCAGATTCGTTTAGTTATTGTCAGGTAAACGTAGAATGACATTATCTGCTTGCAAATAACAGTAGATTTAGAACTTCCCTAATACATTGTGTACATCCACATCGTTCTCCCGTAGCGCCGCCGCACATTTATCCATAAATATAATGATTTTGATACAATTACTTTGTTCCTATTAAAATATAAATTAAAATTCGCCCGTTGACTGATGTTTATATAAAATCTATCATTGCACTGGGAGCTACGAAAGAACGATCTAAATATATTCTCCGACTTACCATTAGCCTAACTATGCAAGGATTGTAGTAACTTTTTCTCCTACTCTATACACTTATACTGTAGGTATATAACGAATATATATCGTAATATTTAACCTGCCCTAGGCCCTAAACTTTCTACTATATTATATTAGAAATCCCTAAATGATGTGCCAAATCCTAGTCGTCTGTTATTTTTTTACTTTGATTTATCTCCACATTATTAAATGTTTTCCTATTCTATAACTTAGTATGTTCTGGCACAACGAAACTTAATACATACTATTATCAATTAAATCTATCGAAATTTAATTTACTTTAAAAGAACTATTTAATATTTTTGACGGTAAGCTTTTTAAATAATGTGAAGATAACTTCATGATCTATGTTGGTTAGAAACGGTTTGGAATATAAAATGTAGACTCATATAGATGAGTTTAAAATTAAAAGATAATATCGCTGTATACTCGCGACGTATGCAAGTGTTTGATGATTTTGCCGGATTAACAAAAAACACCACGAGGTAAAACTATTTACAAATATTAATCAGCTGTGATAAGAAAAAGTTACCTTATTTAAAAAAATAAGAATTGAATTCTTGACTTTACTTGAATTTTGCTTATTTTTAACATTTTCGAGAGCATCGAAATGCATTACGCCCCTACAAATGCACAATATTACGTGCAGGCAATGTATAAGATGTCGCTATTAACTCATACTCGCGCTTCAAAATCCGTCAATAATATTAGCATAGTTACCTCTAACGTTACTCTTTTATAATTTAGCGCCAATGCGATGAAATTGTTTGATGATAATGAATTGACGAGTGATATTGTTGTATAAAGTGATGTGTTAAAATATTCTTATTTTTAGACTCAAATATATCTGCATTAGACAATGTATAGAGTCTAGAATTAGCGAAAGGTAATGTATGTATATCTAACGCCATAATAAATGTGCGCTTTTTAATGTTTTTTGCTAATTACGAAAGCTCTCACGATGCCATGCCTCTTTATCAAGAAGAAAATTGTCCTACTTTTTCTTCCATTGATTGCATATGCATATTAATAATTAATTTGAAGAAACCCTGATAAGATTAAGTGGCCGTTTATTTCATACTGCGTTATATATCTTTTCAGTTTCAATTTTTTCATATTAAAATCAACTCTTAGAAACTTTAAGTTTTTAAGCTTTTTGTTTTACGACGTACGTACATACATACAAACATAATACGTACATACATGGCATCGTAAGAATGGCACACACTTTTATTATAGGTATGTGCACAAAATTGAAAAGCACCTAGAAATTAATTTACGTAACACGTATAATTGAAACGTAAAACACATTAGTTACACAACACTCTGATTTTAATGATACATACAGAGACGCTGTAACTTGTTATCGGTTGACATTATGGTATGGAATATTGCGATTGTATAAAGGTAAAGAATGTAGCACATAAACTAACGTATGGCTCCACCAAGCACTGTAGATTTTTATTATAATATATATTTTTTTCTTTTTAAGTATTATAATTGTGTTTATAAATTATATACTTATACTTATATATAGATATTTTAAATTTTATAATATAATAATTACGTGTATACTTTATAAAGAATTATTATATCTTTGGACGTACTTATTAATTTTTAAATTGTTTTTATATATAGAAAAATGTACTTCCAATGTCTCGAAATTATATTATCATGTAATTCATACAAAATTATTTACATACAGTTCGTATAAGAATCGTCAGTGTTCGGTTCCCGTAGCGTGTAGTTGGAGAAAACAAGTCAAAGGCATTCGCATTAAATGGATAGAATTTTCAGATTTAAGTGCCAATGAGTTATTGCTCTCTAATGACTGATTTTATGACAAAAGTTTACTTTTGTTGACTAAAAGAGGATTTGACCTTTGATGATTTGATACTTTGCCCATTATAATTACATTGCGCTTATTATGCGAAAGTCATATAGAGATAGCATACGAATATTAATCTACACATAATATATGTAAATCTGGTTTGTGCCACTATAGTCTGTTGTACGCCCACCTGTCAGCTATGCGTCTCACCTTTCAATAAGATCATATTTGTATGTCAATGATTAACTTTTAGCTTAGGAATTGTAAAACTGTATTTTTACATTCCTTTTTCTATTTAATGTTTATTTTACATTTTTATTAATATGTATATCAAAAATTATTTTTATATATAAGTATTAATAATAATATTTTTCAAATATTATTAGTATTATTATTATTTCCATAGTATTTAGTTAAGTTTGTTAAAATTGTTTAATTGTAATAATTTATTGGCTAAACAGAAAGTTCTTATAAGTATGTATTGGAATTGTAAAATTAATGTATTTTAACATTTTTGTTAATATGAACTGTGTCGCAATATTTTGTAGCTTAAAGCTATCGAATTAAAATATTTGTTGTATCTTTAATCTAACTATTCTTTGTGTCAATGTTTAATTGTAAAAGTTTACTTTATTTAAATAGGTTAATACCAAAATAGCTTCAAATGTTTTAATGTGGAATTAAATATATACACGTCAAGTTGAAATTTTCTTTTATTTATAATTTTTTTCTTTATTTTCCCATTCCGATATCTACGATCCATTACGATATTACTAAAGAAATATTTATAATGAAAATAAAACATTTACACCTATTGTTTTAAAATAAGAGCCCCAGAAATTACAGATAGACTCAAGTGTCATAAAAGCAAGATACAAAATACATTTTTTTTGAATTGAATTAATGTAAAATAATGAATACCACTTAAATTTGTAATAACAAAAATGATATTATAAGAACAGAAATATAACATCTATTAATTCTGCACTGTACTTAATAAATCGTTGAAAGGGCCGGAACAGTTTATAAATTAATTCAACTTATATTTTAAATAAACATTTTTTAAATCACTTAATAAAAGTTAATAATATCAATACATATTAAAAAAAAATTAGGTACAATTTTTAGCCAGAACCGAACCTGCTGAATAGATTTACTTGTCTCTTTTTAGGCGTTTGCTATTTTATATCCTATAGTTTTAGACCCCGGCTTTATATAAAATGGTATGTCTAGCTCCTAATTTCAAAGATTTCTATTATACAAGTACTCTAATAATTCCTAGTATAATCTAAACACATCAAAAATAGTCGAGTGCAATTAGACATTATGAATGAAAAATTACTATGCCATATTATTTATATCTATTACTTCTATCTATGCCATAAAATAAAACAGTACCTAACTAGACGAAATCAATGTGGGCATTTCACGCAAAAAGTACCTACTGAACCGATTTTAACTAAATGTGCAGTGATAACTTATTACTCGGGTCAACACTTAGGTACCTTTTACTAAAGGAAAATTTTTCATTCCCATGGTAAAGCACAATAATTGTAGGTCTTAAAAAGATGTACAAAAAAGTCCACAATAGCAAATAATCTATCTCCTAAGGTATACTAGGAATGCCTACTTTTATCTAGGTATAATTTAATAAAAAAGTAACAGCGAAATCAATGTGCGCGTTTCACGTAAAAAGTACTGAACCTGTTATATCTAAATTTTGTGTAGTGATAACTTATTACTCGGGACAACGTTTAGGATACCTTTTACTGCAAGAAAATCTTTAATTCTCACGGAAAATCAAAATAACTGATTCTAATAAATCGTCCTAAGAAATTTATTTGGCTAACGCTAGTACATTGTTTTGATATATTTCTTAACTTAAGGTTTAACCTTAAGAAATACATCAAAACAATGTACCTACTCCAAAATTTTAGGTATGTAGGTATATATAAGGCCTACAGAAAAATCTACTATAACATAAGTCTTTCTCCTAAAATACACTAGCAATAATTATAATGCACCTAGGAGCGCAGCCCAGTGAAGAGAGGGTAAGTCACTATCTTTTATATAGAAACTGAGTTATTCTCGAAAGAAAAAATAAATATGGTTATAAATGAAATATACTAGAAGCAGCATCATTTTCATAGGGCAACCCTTAAAAAATATATTAGCAGACGATTTCAAAAGGTAAACTTTTTAGTTTTTAGTATAAGAA